ATCCGAATCACCGCCGGGAAATTACAAAACAAAAGACGACTCACGGTGAAAGTGTTTTTTTTTGTTTTGTTATTAATTAAATAAACTTAGAAAAGAGGCCACTCTTTTTAAAAAAAAACAATCACGGCACGATCTGGAAGTTTAAAAAGTAAGGATGCAAAAACAAAGCCACCAGCTAACAATTCAGAATCGCCACGCGCACGTTGGAATGACATGACCATCGGTATATTTCGGGGCGGGAGGGATGTGAGCGGTGGAAGGCAGCAGTCTGACCTGATTCGTCCCGCCCACTTCCCAATACCGCACTGTGAATGGTGCCGTCCGACGGCATGCCCTACCTCACCTCGTTTTCTATAGGTCTGCGCTCAAGTCAATCGTGTGCCCACCATGTCCCTTTGTGATGACATACCACCTCCTTCACCCTTCGTCCCGGGTGTCGAAGGAGGGGCAAGGCCAGCGCCATTCTCAGCTTATCGGTGGAAGCGATCTAAGGAGCCCGCGTCGCAATTCGTCGATAACACCAGCCAATGAGAGGCCTTGTTACTGTCAGGGCCGCCGTCGCATATTGATGAAGAAAGAGAGACGTATGAGGGGGAGAGAGAGTCGCTGATGGTGTTGCGCCACCGTTTGAAATATATTGGTGCTCGTTTTCTAGCACCCTTTGGTTATTGCGTTTATCGTTGTGTTTATTTTCTTCCGCCTCCCCACGTTCGTTCCCCCCCCCCCGCCTTTTCTGCTTCTCATAAATGCTAAATCTAAATGAAGGATGGATACTGACGACGTGACGATCAGAGAACAAAACTTTCGTAGCCAAATCCGGGAGTACACAGTGAGTAACTGCACCTGCACCTCGCACCGCCTCCTGTCAGCTTCGTCTTTGTTTATTTGCGTTGTTTTCAACGGTGGCTGTTCAAGAGGAGTGAAATCAGTACAGAAAGGACACTAGGCATCTCCTATTTCAATATCCGTTTTCCTACTTTGGGGCCACCGTTTTGGTGGGGGGGGAGGAGTTGGTGGTGGCGAAGAGAAGGTTCTTTGGGAAAACGAGACTTCACCGCCTTTGTTTTTTCTTTGCACGTTCTCGAGGTGTGCCGATTTGTCAGTAGATTTTGTTCTTGTGGTTTCCACACAGAACGCAGTTTGATTCTGAATTAATTCGATACCGATTATTTTCAACCGTGTTCTCCGTCCTAGTGCTCCTAGTAGTCAGATTATTTTTGCAGCGTTTCTTGTATTTTGGCAGCTCCTTTTTTTTCTCCCCCCATGTGCATGTCAATTTATGAATCGATCTACGTGAAGCTTAGCAGGTTATCTCGACCGGGGGACCATCGCCAAGTCATACAGTGCAAAGGTTGGTGCTGGTGACAGTGTTGTTGCAAGGCCCAAGATGTCACAGAGAACTATCAGTTGAATGAAACTATTTGGATTCTTTCCTATTTTTAGGTTGGGAAGGAACGATTCTGTCATTCTGCAGTTGTGCATTTTTGTGAATGTGTTTGATTAGCTTTGGAGCACTAGTTTTATTGTTAAACATATCACTTCATGAATTCGATGTGCATTCCAGTTGTTTCGAGTATCATAGAACAATGGAGGAATATTGAGTATGTTTTAAAAAAAGGCTTATTCTCTTTTGTAAGTGAAGGTATTTAATGAAAACATGATAATGACTGGTGCTTCGTTGAAAAATTACTTTTAAAAATGTGTTATTTTGAGAATAGACAGGTACTGCCTGAAAACTTGGATTGAACACATTGACAGAACTTTGAAGTATTGATGTTGCTACGAATAAAATCATTATTACACCATTAAGTTAGTTAGGGATGCTTGCTGAGAGATCCTAAAGTGAGAATGTTTAACTTGAATTTGCAAAATAGCAACTGAACTTGAACAGTTGAGAACAATCACTTGAATTTTTGTTTTTAATTTTTTTTGTGAGAACATTAACCTTGTCAGAGTAAAGCTTCTAGGTATTGTAAGACCATGCAGCAAAAGACAAATTACGATATGGAGACAGGCAGCTGAACTAAATCAGCCTTTCTACCACTGTATTTGCAACAGAACAGAATTAAACCGTCAAAGACCCCCAATAATTACTCCAGTGATTCCTAACCAGACTTCTGAGTCACCAATCTGGGACTTTGTGAATAATTCCAGACACTGGTTTTGTATCTTAAACAAAAGACTTGTGGATTTATTAAATATACATTAACTTTAACAGAGGAAAAATTAAACAGCAAGGTAAAGTGATTGGTGCCTATGCTTTAACATAGAACTTGTTTTTTCAGATTGGGAGTAGGCGATGGCTTAGTTGTATTATCACTAGACTATTAATCCGGAAACTCAGCTAATGTTCTAGGGATAACAAGGTGTAGAGCTGGATGAACACAGCAGGCCAAGCAGCATCAGAGGAGCAGGAAGGCTGATGTTTCGGGCCTAGACCCTTCTTCAGAAATGTTCTAGGGACCCAAGTTCGAATCCCGCCACAGCAGATGGCGGAATTTGAATTCAATAAAAAAAAGTCTGGAATTAAGAATTTACTGATCACCATGAAACCATTCATTGTTGGGAAAAACCCATTTGATTCACTCATGCCCTTCAGGGAAGGAAATCTGCTATCTTATTCTGGTCTGGCCTACATGTGACTCCAGACTCATAACAATGGGGTTGACTCTCAATTGCCTAGCAAGCCATTCAGTTGTACCAATTGCTACGAAGTCTAGCAGAAATGAAACCAGACGGATCACCTGGCATCCACCTAGGCACTGGAAAATATAATTGCAGAAACAGCCCTGTTGATTCTGAAAAATCTTCCTCACTAACATTGGGGGTTTAGTGCCAAAATTGGGAGAGCTGTCTGTCAGACTAGTTAAGCAACAGCCTGACATAGTCATGCTCACGGAATCATACCATACAGATAATGCCCCAGACACCACCATCACCATTCCTAGATATGTCCTGTCTCATTGGCAGGGTAGACCCAGTAGAGGTGGTGGCACACTGGTATACAGTCAGCAGGGAGATGTCCAAGGAGTCCTCAATGTTGACTCTGGACCCTATGAAGTCCCAAGGCTTCAGGTTAAACATAGGCAAGGAAGCCTCCTGCTGATTACCGCATACTGTCCTCCCTCAGCTGATGAATCTGTACTCCTCCATGTTGAACAACACTTGGAGGAAACACTGTGGATGGCAAGGGCACAAAATGTACTGTGGGTGGGGCATTTCATTGTCCACCACCAAGAGTGGCTCAGCAGCAGCATCACTACTGATGGAGCTGGGAGGGTCCTAATGCATACAGCTGCTAGCCTGGGTCTGCAGCAGCTGGTGAGGAAACTAACGAGAGAAAAACATATGACCTCATCCTCGCCAATCTGCCAGCTGCAGTTGCATCTGTCCATGACAGTATTGGTAAGAGATGAAGTCCCATCTTCACATTGAGAATAACCTCCATTGCATTATATGGCACTATCACTTCGCACAGATCTTGGAACTCAAGACCAGGCATCCATGATGTGCTGTGGACCATCAACAGCAGCAGAATTCTACACCAGCACAATCTGCAATCTCCTGGCTGGGCATATTCCCCCACTCAACCATTACCATCAAGCCAGGGGATCAACCCTGGTTTAATGGAGAGTGCAGGAGGGTATGCCAGCAGCAGCACCAGGCATACCTGAAGATGAGGTATCAACCTGGTGAAGCCACTAAACAGGACTACTTGCTCTGTAGCGAAAGCAGCAAGTGATAGACAGAGCTAAGCGATCCCACAACTAAGCTCTGCAGTCCTGCCATATCCAGTTGTGAATGGTGGTGGACAATTAAACAACTCACTAGAGCAGGAGGCTCCACAAATATCTCCATCCTCAATGACAGAAGAGCCCAGCACATCAGTGCCAAAGATAAGGCTGAAGCTTTCGCAGCAATCTTCAGCCTGAAGTGCTGAGTGGATAATCCATCTCGGCCTTCTCCAGCGGTCCCCAGCACTACAGATAGCTGTCTTCAGCCAATTCAGTTCACTCCAGGTGATATCAAGAAACATTTGGAGACTCTGGATACTGCAAAGGCTATGGGCCCTGACACCATTCTGGCAATAATACTGAAGACCTGTGCTCCAGAACATGTCGCTCCCCTCGCCAAGCTGTTCCAGTACAGTTCAGTATAATACAGTTCTGATATCGACCCAGAAATGTGGAAAATTGCCCAAGTATGCCCTATACATTATAAAAACGACAAATCCAACCCGGCCAATTACTGCCCCATCAGTCTACTTTGGATCGTCAATAAAGTGATGGGAGGTGTCATCAACAGTGCTACCAAGCAGCACCTGCTCAGTGATGCCCAGGTTGGGTTTCACCAGGGCCTTTCAGCTCCTGACCTCATTACAGCCTTGGTTCAAACATGGACAAAAGAGCTGAATTCCAGAAGTGAGATGAGAGCGACAGCCCTTGATATCAGGGCTGCATTCAACGAGGTGTGGCATCAAGGAGCCCTAGCAAAACTGGAATCAGTTGGTATTGGAGGCAAACTCCCCAAGTGGTTCAAGTCATACTTGACACATAGGAAGATGGTAGTGGTTGAGGACGTCTCTGCAGGAGTTCCTCAGGTTAGTGTCCTAGGCCCAACTGTCTTCAGCTGCTTCATCAATAACCTTCCCTCCATCATAAGATCAGAAGTGGGGATGCTCATTGATTGTGCAATGTTCAGCACCATTGGTGACTCTTCAGATACTGAAGCATTCCGTGTTCAAATGCAACAAGATCCGGACAATATCCAGGCTTGGGCTGGTAAGTGGCAAGTAATGTGTGCTGCACAAATGCCAGGCTATGACCATCACCAATAAGAAACAATCTAACTACCACCCCTTGGCATTCAATGGTGTTACCATCACTGAATTCCCCACTATCAACATCTTTGACCAGAAACTCAACTGGACTCACCACATAAACACAATGGCTACAAGAGCAGGTCAGAAGCTAAGAATACTGCGGCGCGTAACTCCCCTCCTGACTCCTCAAAGCCGGTTCACTATCTATGTCGCATAAGTCAGGAGCGTGATGGAACACTCCCCACTTGCCTGGATGATCACAACCCCAACAACACTCAAGCTTGACACTATCCAGGACAAAGCAGCCCGCTTGATTGGTACTACATCCACAAGCATCCACTCCTTCCACCACCGACACTCGGCAGCAGTGTGTACTATCTACACGATGCACTACAGAAATTCACCAAAAATCCTTGGACAGCGGTTTCCAAACTCACGACCATTTCCATCTAGAAGGACAGGAGCAGCAGACATACGGAAACACCACACCCTCAAGTTCCCCTCGAAGCCACTGTCCATCCTGACTTGGAAATATATTGTTCCTTCACTGCTGGGTCAAAATCGTGGAATTCCTCCCTAATGGCCTTGAGGGTCAACCCACAGCAGGTAGACTTCAGCATTTCAAGAAGGCAGCTCACCACCACCACCTCAAGGGTAACTAGGGATGGGCAATAAAAGCTTGCCAGCTAGCAATGCCCATGTCCCAGAAATAAATTGAAAGAAAAAGTCACACAAAAGACAGATGGACAGCCAAATAAACACAGTAAAATGAGAAATAAATGAAAATAACCAAACTGGCCAGATTATTTAAATAGTTTTCACAATGCGTTATTGCATAGGCATAAATGTGGAGTTGTTGGCTGCATTTCGGAAATGTTGTTCGGGGTCACCTGCTCAGTACACCCAGGCAAAGGCAACAATCCTTCTAACTCAACTTCCTACCCTTTTTGGGTATAGCAGATTTAGGCAGGGGGTTTTCAAGTCTTCATGTTGTCCATCTTGGGGCA